TCTTAGAAAATTACTACCTATAGATAGTGATACTATCAGAAATAGAATAAACAAATGCACAGTATGTCCTTGTGCAAAACAGACTAGACTACCATTTCCTACAAGTAGTATTCAGAGTAGTAGATGCTTTGATCTAATACATGTAGACTTGTGGGGCCTTACAAAGTTGCTACATTTGATGGAAACAATTTTTTTCTGACTATTGTAGATGACTTCTCAAGAATGACATGGGTATTTTTACTAAAGCAAAAGTCTGATGCATGTGTCTCAATTCAGCATTTCTTCAAATATGTTAAAACTCAATTTGATGTAACAGTGAAGACAATAAGAACTGATAATGGTTCAGAATTTGTAAACTCTGTGTGTGAACAACTATTCAAAGAATTGGGAGTTATACATCAAAGAACATGTGTATATACCCCTCAGCAGAATGGGGTAGCTGAGAGGAAACACAGACACATATTAGAAGTTACAAGAGCTATCAGATTTCAAGCTCAAATACCAATCAAATTTTGGGGTCATTGTGTTTTAGCTACTGTTTATCTAATAAACAGAATGCCCAGTGCTGTCATTGAAAACATATCTCCATTTGAAAGACTACATAAAAGGAAGCCTTCTCTCTTGCATCTTAGAGTATTGGGATGTTTGTGCTTTGCCAAAATTATACAAGAACATATAAGCTAATGCCTAGAGCTAAGGTATCTATACACATGGGATACTCAGAAGTCCAAAAAGGATACATTCTATATGACCCTACTGCTAAGACATTCTTCACAAGCAGAGATGTCACATTTAGAGAAGATGTATTTCCTTTCATAAAGAAAGATAACAAGTGCCATCAAATATTCATTGATACAACACCAAGCTTGGCAATACAACTACATGATTCTACAATATTATCTCAGAATAGAACAACAGCTACAAACAATAATGAAGATGGCAACATAGAACACAGTGAAACAATTATACAACACAACTCAGAAGAAAACTACACAGATGAAGCTACAGAAAATGAAGAAATAGATTTCTACTCAGAGCCTACTCATCCTGATACTAGTACTTCACAAATGCCATTTGACAATACTGAAATGCAAAATCAGTCCTTGCCTGAAGTGAGAAAATCCAGCAGAGACAAACATCCTAGAGTCCGGATGAAGGATTTTGTTTCTCTCAATATTCATAAAGATGTACCATATGCTCTAAACAAGTATATTAACTATGATCATCTCTCCTCTAAATATCAGTCCTATTTAGCTACAACTTCATCAGTTACTGAACCAACTAACTATTCTGAAGCAATTTTGGATCCTAGATGGATACAAGCAATGAATGAAGAGATAAAAGCTCTTGAGAATAATCATACCTGGGATATTGTAACTCTACCAGAAGGAAAAAAGCCTATAGGATGCAAATGGATTTACAAAATCAAGTACAAAGCTTCAGGGGAAATTGAAAGATTCAAAGCTAGACTAATAGCCAAAGGTTATAGCCAAACAGAAGGTATTGATTATCAAGAGACATTTTCACCAGTGGTGAAAATGGCCACAGTAAGGACTATCCTTGCCTTAGCAGCTTCAAGGAAATGGCATATACATCAGATGGATGTATATAATGCTTTCCTACAGGGGGATTTATTTGATGAAATCTATATGGATCTACCACAGGGATTTAAAAGTTAGGGGGGAGAACAATGTGTGTAGACTTGTTAAATCCCTATATGGTCTCAAACAAGCACCTAGACAATGGAATGCAAAACTGTGTGAAGCACTACTAAGTTTCAAATTCAAACAAAGCCAAAATGATCACTCTCTATTCATCAGGAGAACAACTGAAGGTACTACCATAATCCTAGTATATGTGGATGATATGTTAATCACAGGTGACAGTCTGCATTTGATTGAGGAAACAAAGAATCTACTGCACAATGCATTCAAAATGAAAGATCTGGGGGAGCTAAAATACTTTCTGGGAATTGAATTTGCTAGATCCAATCAAGGAATAACTATGCATCAGAGAAAATATGCTTTGGAATTAATTTCAGAAGCTGGATTAGCTACAGCCAAACCAGCAATAACTCCAATTGATCTCAACATCAAACTAACCTCCAAACAATATGATGAGCACATTAGTAAGACAGAAGACTCAGGGAAAGACGACAGGTTAGTTGATCAAACTTCCTATCAAAGACTAATAGGAAAACTACTATATTTGACTGTAACAAGACCAGACATAGCATTTGGAGTTCAAACTCTTAGCCAATTTCTTCAACAACCTAAAAAATCACACATGGAAGCTGCTTTAAGAATAGTGAGATATGTGAAAAATCAGCCGGGTCAAGGAATTTTATTGTCAAATTCTCATAACAACATCATCACAGCATTTTGTGATGCAGATTGGGCTGCTTGTCCTCTTTCCGGAAAATCAGTTACAGGCTTCTTAATTAAAGTTGGTGATTCACTGGTGTCATGGAAGTCAAAGAAACAAACGACTGTATCTCGAAGCTCTGCAGAAGCAGAATACAGAAGCTTAGCCACAACAGTAGCTGAACTTATTTGGCTATATGGCTTAATAACAGAAGTTGATACAAAGCCACAGTTACCTATCAATATCTACAGTGACAGCAAGGCAGTTATTCAAATAGCTGCAAACCCAGTCCACCATGAAAGAACCAAGCATATTGAAATCGATTGTCACTTCATTAGAGAAAGAATTCAACAAGGACTTGTCATCACAAAGTATATTGCAACCACAGATCAACCTGCTGATATTCTCACAAAGGGGTTAACCAGAGTACAACATGAATATTTAAAATCCAAACTAGGTGTGATCAATATTTTTTCACCACCTAGTTTGAGGGGGAGTGTTAAATGATAGTATAAGGGCAGAATGGTCTTTTCACATTAGGTAGTTATTAACGACTTAATAGCTGTTAGAGGAATTAGTTAATTAGGTACAAATACACATTTATGTATTTACTATAAATACTTGTATACACCACATTAATGAATAAGGAAAAAAAAATTAATTCTTCCTCTACTCTAAGTCTATGCTCTATTCTCTCCTCTGCATGTGATCCTTCTTTGTCATTTCATCTTCTTCTTCATCTCATCTTCATATCAGCTTCACAGATACACAAATCATTTCAAAATACTACGTGTTCATTCTGTTTGATGTTTAGCAACGGAACAAGACGCAAGTTGCATAGGAAGGCTTATAATAAATGCAACATAATATTTTCAACCTCTCCAACTGCTACTAATTCATATATACATTTTCTTTTTCTTTTTCATGATCTGCATAGAAAGTAAAGCGAAATATGCTAAGACCCATAATTACAAAATTTAGGAGGAGGGGGTCGACCCAATCAGACGCTGAGCCTATTAAATTTGATGCATATTCTACTGCAAACACTATAGTTAAAAATAAATAGTAGAAGATAGTTTCAAGAGTTGTGACCCTTTGGGTTCTTAAAGGACACAACAGAATTTGGTTTCAATAATTTGATCTTCTTTTCCTCTACATAACTACAGTGAAAAGATTAAAGAACTGGGGTATGGAACACGTCTTATCTCAGACTACATTGCTTCATTAAAGTTGGGATTTAGGACTATATGACATTAAGTTCAACGACAAAAATTAAAGAAATTCTGCCCAAACCAGGTGGGGACCCTGCAGAGTACTGTATCAGCAAATGACAATGTGAAATCTTGAAACTTGTGTTAATTTTAGAGATTACAACAAAAAAAAGAAAAATGAACTTGTATACGGAAGAAATCGTAGAGCTCGATTTCGAAGACTTAATTACACTCAGAGCTCGAGTTCTGGAAGCTCGAAGTAAGAATCAAGCCAGCCCCGGATGAGCGCACCTCGAGAAGCAAATCGGGGATCCATCGTGACCTGTCTCGAGGGTAGTACAATCTCGAAGACACTCAAGAAAGAGCGGGAATTTCTCAAGAACACGTGGGTCAGGGCATAAATTATAGGATAAGATTTGCACGAAATAGCACAAGTCCGTACTAGGTCGTTATGCAGCTGTACCAATAGAATTTCTTACCGTAATTAGAAATGTACTGTATTAAGGATTTTCCCCTCCTATATAAAGGGGACCCCAATCATTTGTAGAGGATATCTCATTCTCTGCAATAGAATATTCTACTCTGCCTTTCTTGTTTACCGTGCTCAACAATTGTTCTTCAGCTTTATTGTCCTTACTTTATTGTTCATACTTTATTGTTCTTAGCTCACCTCGAGGCCCCTAAGATAATCGAGCTCGAGGTCCTTATTGCTCTAACAACACTGGTTTGGTTCATCAATTCTTTTTACTTAAATTTAATATTATTTGTACATTCACTAGTATTGGAATAAATCACATATCTTTAAAACCACAAATCATATTTAATTGTTACTCATATTTCTCGAGGTAAACAAAACTCTATTTTTGAGTGTTTGATCCAAAAATATATTTGTTTGAGTTTTTTTTAACAGGAAAATGAACTTTTTCTGAAGGATTACAAACTTCATTTTCGGAATTTTAGAGAAAATAATCAAAATGGTCCTTAAAGTATAAGGGTTGGATTATTCGGTCCTTCATATATACAACCTCTTAATAGAATTAGTCCTTGATGTATACAAAAAGTAGACGCTTTTGATACTAAATACTAAGTAGGCGTTTTGACATAAAAATGTGATTTTTGACAACAAAAAAAATAGTATTTGGAGTTAAGTTAAAAAAATAATTTTGAAATTTAAAATTATGTTTAGATATGCATTTCACATTGCAGTTTTGAGTGGGGAAAATATTTTTTTCCGAAAAACTTGAAAAAGTGGTCAAAACTTTTTGGTTTTTGTAAAACTCATTTTTGAAAAAATCTCCAAAAACTTACAAATTTTCATGAACACATTTTTGAAAAAAATTCCCGAGAAAAAAAAAATCAACGGCCAAACGGCTCCTAAAACTAACGGTGCAAATAAAAATTATTAGTAAACCAACAACGCTCATGTGCATATCAATTAAGGTGTTATAACACAAAAATAAAGAACTGATGTTTCCCATTGGGAGTTTAATTGATCACCACAATTCAGTATATACACTCTGCTATACACCAACGAGCCCAGTCCCAAATCAGTAATACTCTGCTTATACTAATACAAAGGTAATCCCACCACCATACGAATTGTCTTAGGAGGTGAAGGCGGCGGCCGCGGCGGTGTCTGAACCTCTACAACCACCTTTCCTGTTGTAGGAGGTTGACATGGACAAGGCAATGCTATGAATTTTGGAACTTGATCACCTGGCATTAAAACTGCCGGAGAGATTTGGCTTTGGTTCTGCATCTCACTCTGTATAAACAAAGAATGAACAAAGTTAATTTTATCCATAATCCGATATTGACATAACAATTAGTTAGACGTGACTATGTCTTGTTGGATGAATATGTAAATAAAAGTGTTTTAGCGTAACAACTTAGGTGATATTATACACAATTTGAAATGGAATAGAGTAGTGTAAAACTTAAATTCCAATCTCTCCATCAAACATGAAAAAGACATATTTTCACGTAATTAGCTCAACCAAAAAAAAAGGTAACTTATTGTAAATCTTAACTAGTTTAAGTAACTCTTTATAATGAATCCAATTTGGTAATATAAAAAATAAATTAAACATATTGTTATAACAAGGTTAAATATACTACTACTAAGTGTAAACGCTAGTTATACTTTCATGTATATACTATTTAAATCCAATAAATTCCGTCTCTAACACACATTTCAGTAAACAAAAGAGGGATATATATATCAGATTGTTTACCATGTGGGTGTGTTTGGGTTTCAAGGAAGCAGGATCACCGCCCCCTTCGAGGTCGGCGAAAGATCGACGACGGAGGGAACGAATTTTTTCCCAGTGATAGCAGCAAGAAAAGACGCCACTCAAACTGAAAATGACAATTAAGAGAACAGCAGTGCCAAGGGGGAAGCCTAAAGACGGCCGAGATGATGACTCCACATTAATATGGGACGGTGCGTAGTACTGAGGACGCTCCATTTTTTGTTATACAGCAACAACAACTCGTAGTACCCACTTCTCTCAACATCCAGGGCTGAAGAAAGAATAGAAGAAGAGGATAGTTTTTCAGAGAAAGTTGGAGTCTGCCTAAACAAATTAAAGTAGTATAGGGACTCTGGTTTAAGAGCAAGTTAAAATGGGAAAGGTTGGAAATGAAGGTGGATTTGGTTGAGTTGTGATGTAGAGAGAGAAGGGGGTGGAGCTACAAATTTATAAACTGAAGGCCTTGGTACGGAAGGAAAAGCTGGGGACCTACATGCTTCGGTGCCAAGCATGTTTCGGCAAAATGACCTCTTAAAATAGTAGTCAGAAAATATATATTTTTTGTTTATGTATATATACACACATTCTGAATGTTATATACAAAAATCATACAAATTTTATAATATACTTTTTCATCTGTCGAATGTAAATAGTTTTTGGCACGAAATAAAAGTAAAAAAAGTCCAAGCATGATTACTTTTCCATAGTCCGTTTATTGTCAGTTTTTTTTTACGGTGGTGCATCTTAGTATGAAACATAATATGTGCCTTCGTTTGTTTGTTTAATGAGTACGGTTACGCGGCGCCTTTTTGAGATTTCTAGGAAGGGCGACGTAAGCCTATGCAATCGACGTTCGTGTAGTTACTATCCGCCAACTGAGATCCCCTTCATACGCTAGACTAGATTGTCGGTGCCGTACGGAAAAACCAATATCAAGAGCAATAAAGAGAGCAGAAAAGAGAATTGAGAATGAAAGAAAGCTTGATTGCATTAATGAAAACTATTATAGAAAAGTCACACGGTGTCGAGGGGGAGAGACACCAGTACAGAGAATTGCTTGCTTGTTAGAAAATTTGATTGCTTGATCCCCCAAAATAATGCTTAAAACAAATAAACCAAAGTTACAAGACTTGACCTAACTAAGCTAGAGAAACATAATGGAAGTACATGAAATAAAACTACTTTATATTTACAATGAAAAGGACTTAGTTTTCTATAAGGTAGAAACATGTCCGTTGTCAGCAACCTTGTCTTTGGTATCACAGTCTGCGCGCGCAGCGCCGTTGGCATCTGCCTGCGGCTGGGCGCTGGCGAGGGCTATTGGTGGGGCGGCAGAGGCACATGCGCACTTGTCACTTGGCGCAGCCAAGACCACGGGACCGTCCATGTCGCTAGGTGTTGAGAGGTGAGAGGCTTGCTAGGACGCCATGGGGCGCGTCCAAGGGACTATGGGGCATGGATGGAAAGCTGCCCATGACATTCTGCCCCACCTGAGTTGGCGACGTCCTCGGCGCCTTACTTGCAGGATAATCATCAATAAGGCTCTTGTAGGCTTTGAGGTTTGTTCCCCTCTCACAAGTGTTCTCCTCTGCATCACAGCCCTGCCATTTCACTAAGAACTCTTGGTGATCTTTCCTTGAGGCGTGAATCACTCGACCGTTAAGAATAGCTTCAACATGCCTTTTCCCGGTTGAATTGGGGCCTCGAAGGATCCTCCATGTCTTTCGAAAAAGGTTTCAAAAGAGTGACATGGAAGACAGGATGGATCTTCCACTAGGCTGGGGTATCCACCCGGTATGAACTTTCCCAATGCGTCTTTCAATGGACAAGGGTCCAATGTATTTTTGTAATAGGCGAGGGTCATGGACCCCTGCAAACAAGTACCGCTTTGGGATTTTGACCATCACTTTGTCTCCTACTTGGTATTCAACAAAGCGATGATTTTGTTCAGCATGCTCTTCATCCGCTTTTGTGCTTTGACAAGATGGCTCCGCACTATCTCCAAAGCGCTTTTGTTTGTACTAGAGCTCTTTTGTTAATTGAAACACAATTGAGCAGCATCCAGAAGCTTCACCCAATTCTTCTGCGATCCGATTACAAAGTGGCGGAGATATTCCTCCAGCATGCCATAGAACCGCTCCGTTTGGCCATCAGATTACGGGTGGAAACTTGAGTTGTGACTAAAATTTGACCCGAGGCACTTAAAGAGTTGGGTCCAAAAATTGCTAGCGAACCGTGAGTTGCGATCACTAACGATGTCTTTAGGCAGGCCCCAATATTTGACGACATGGAAGAAGAAGAGTCGAGTTGTATCTTTTGCTAATATATATTGTGGGGTTGCTATAAATGTAGCATACTTGGAAAAACGATCCATAACAACCAAGATAGTCATGAGATTTCCGACCTTGGGCAATCCGGTGATGAAATCTAGGGAAACGCTTTCCCAAGGTCTCTTTGGGACAGCTAGTGGTTACAAGAGTCCTGCTTGTGTCAAGCGGTCCGACTTATACTTCTGGCATCAGCAACATAATTAGTCTTCCCACTTTGGTACTCCAAGTTGAAGTGAAATTCCGCTGGGAGTTCCTGCCACCTGGTCTGTCGACCATTCAGCGTCAGCTGGGTCATGAAATGGCTAACATCTGTGTTGTCTGTCTTGACCATGAACGGGTTTCCCAGCAGATAGTTCCTCCAAAGGCGTAAACAATGAACGATGGCCAATAATTCTTTCTCGTGGGCAGCATAACACCTATCTACATCCTTCAACTTCCGGCTCTCGTACGCTACAGGATGCCCTTCTTGTAGCAAGACTCCGCCAAGGGCATAGTCAGAGGCATCCGTTCGTACCTCGAAGGGCTTGGCCAAATCAGGGAGGGCCAAGACGGGGCTACTAGACATAGCCATTTTCAATGCGTTGAAGGCCCCCGCTCGCCTGGGTCACCAATCCCAAGGCGTGACCTTCTTTAAGAGTTCTGTCAATGACACTGTGATGAGGGATTAATTTTTCACAAGTCGCCGATAAAAGTTGCATAGGCCAAGGAACGCCCTCAAGGCATGGATATCCTTAGGCAACAGCCAATCATGATAGACTGAATCTTATGTTGGTCCATCTTGATCCGCCCTTCCTCGATGACATGTCTGAGGAAGTCAATCTATTTTTGGGTAAATGCGCACTTGGATAGCTTCGCATATAATGCGTGCTCCCGTAATCGGGCTAGGACCTTCCGCAAGTGCTCCAAGTGTTCCTCTAGTGTTTGGCTATATACCACATTGTCATCCAAGTAGACCACCACGAATTCGTCAATGTACTCTCAGAAGACTTGGTTCATCAGGGTGAAAAATGTGGCTGGAGCGTTAGTCAAGCCGAATGGAATAAGCAAGACGTCGTACGACCCATACCTTGTCACACAGGTCGTCTTGTGTTCATCACCCTCTGCAATCCGAACTTGCCAATAAACTATCTTCAAGTCTATTTGGGTGAACACTGTCGCACCACCCAATCTATCCAACAAGTATTCCATTAGCAGAATAGGGTACTTGGTATTAACGGTGATTTTGTTTAGAGCCCGATAATCTACACAAAGTCGTAGGCTGCCGCTATGTTTCTTTCGGAATAGCACAGGGGACCCGTATGGGGACTTGGAGGGCACAATGATCCTTGTGTCTAGAATTTCCGTCAACTGTCTCCGAAACTCGGTGAGTCCGGGTTGTGACATTCTGTAAGGCGCCCGGGCGGGTGGCTTGGCACCCGGCACCAACTCAATGTCATGGTCCACAGTGTGCCTACGCAGGAGTCGCGTTGGCATGTCTTGTGGAATGACGTCTTCAAACTCCAGTAGAATCTTCTTCATGGGTGCAGGAATAGGACCCGAAGAGCGTTCTATATCTTCAATACATAGGGTAGCCAGGAACATAGGTTCATGACTTTTGACCCCCTTCTTCAGCTGCAAGGCCGAGATGTTCTCAGCGGCCATCTTCATGGGCATGCATGGGATAATGCAGGGCTTAGCACCTTTTGTTCCCATCATCAGTAGCATGTTGACATACGGTACGGGCATGGTGTTGGTTTGCCTCAAGAATTCCAACCCAACTATCAACTCGAAGTCATCTATGATCACCACGCACAGGTTGAATTTTCCTTCATAAAGGCCAAGCTTAACTGGTACTTCTTTGGCTATTCCACCCACTGGATGAGGCGGTGAGTTGATAGCCTTGACACGACCTCTGCCCTTTCTAACAACTAGACCAAGCTCCACCTGAGTCGAGGCTAAGTAGTTGTGGGTAGCACCCGTGTCTATCATCGCTAGAATGGTCTTGCTAGTTACCTTCATCTCGACGAACATTAAGGTCCTCTCTTGTTTAAGAGGAGTCCTCTCATCCGCCTTCTTTTTCCTTATCTTGGTGATTGGGCATGGGTCTTTCTTTTTACGGATACCAGCATTGGTTCCCGCTAAGGCCTTAGAAATAGAGCCAACAATTGCATTGAAGACACCTACTAGTTCGGTCTGGTCCGCATCATTTGTGTCGTCATTCATCCCATCATCTAAAGCTTGATGGGCATTCATCTGTGCATGTGGGCATTCATTATTCCAATGTGGTCCACCGCAATGATGGCATCCTGAAGGGGTTTTCCTCCCCTGATCGTTGTTGTTAGATGCAATGCTAGTACTACTTGAAGAGTAGCCTTGAATTTGGTTGCACTCCGATCTCCTCCACTTCTGCTACGGCCACCAATGCTAGGCTGGCCCCCTTTGTATCCTACTTGGACAGGCTATTGAGGCCCATCCTTCCGGGCTTCCACTTGATAGTCCCCAAGGCACTCCGCTGCTTGGATCGCCTTGGGTAAAATGTCTACCCTTTGTCTTTACAGCTCCATACGGGCATAAGGTTTCAACCCTTCTAGGAATGTGAAGAGTTTGTCATTGTCCCCCATGTCTCGTATGTTCATCATGAGCGTGGAGAATTCTCGTACATAATCCCGCACTGATTTGGTCTGGCGGAGCTCCCGTAGCTTTCTCTGTGCATTGTACTCAACATTTTCGGGGAAGAACTTTAGGCGTATAGCTGCCTTCAGTTCTGCCCATGTCTCAAGAATATGTTCACCGGGGCCATGATGGCTTCGTACTTCACCCGCCACCAGAGTTTAGCATCACCCTGAACATACATAGCAGTAGTTGCTACCTTCTTAGCTTCTTCTAGGTCCCTCACGGCATCGAAGTACTGTTCGATGTCGAAGATGAAGTTTTCCACTTCTTTGGAATTTCGAGCTCCACTGTATGGATTTGTCTCAGGAATTTTTAGTTTTTGTGCCACGGGGGTTAGGTTTACAGCACCCCCGATTCGGTTTTCGCCTCCTCGAAGCCTTGTAGTGCAACATTGACAACATTGAGCTGGCCATTCAAGTTGTCTATAGTTTGCTGCATGGCAGTCACCCTGTCTGCCACTTGTGCC